ATACTGCGCACAACCCTCAAGCTCCCAGGCCTCTGGTAGAGGACCCAAGCTCAGAGGATGAAAAAGACCACCCCCAGAGGGTGAGAAGGAAATTTTTTTAAGCCTGGGATCTGCTTAATTATTTGGGGGAGTGCTTGCTGGTTTGGGTTCAGGCATAAATACAGAAAAGCATTGTTCTGTGAATGCGGCTTTGAAAGTTTTTTTCTTGTAAATACTTACAAGATTCAATATAAAATCTCATTTGAGGAGTCAAACGACATGTTTACAACATGAGCACATTGCAGTGCTGAAATAATGTTTAAACACTGAGCCAACAGAGTGTAATGTTCTCTGTGCAGAATGCTGTAAAAATTCAATCAGTTTTGCTAAACAGTTTCTAAAATGTAAAACAGCTGCAAGTATCTAGGTCATTTGCTATAAGTGACTGAGTTTAGACTTGGGCATAATAATGTGCCTCAAAAAACCTTCAGATTCAAAACAATTAAATAAAATGCTATAAGGCAGGCCCTCAGATTTCAGAATTTTTTTATCTTTAAAATTACTAATTTTTTTGAACTTTACATTAACCTTCAATATATATAAATTTACATGTGTGTCTGTATTGGGAACAGTGTAAACACATTTGATTATCAGCGTCATTTTTACACAGACACACATATACTAAAACATGCAGTCAATACATTTTGCAAACATTTTATAGCAGAAACTATCTCTTTAGCAACTTTTCAAAAGAGGTTTTGCATTAGCACACACTCACTAACAGAAGGGATCATTTTAGCAAATGCAATTCAAAATGTTAGAGCTTCAAATACCACAACATTATCATAAGTGGAACAAGCATGTCACTTTTTTGTAATTTATTCAGTCGTCTACAAATCACTTGATTATCTTTGCTCCGTGTTTCATGCAGGTGAATTTGTTGTGATCAGGTACCACATAAAGATAAACAAAAACAAGATAAAAGAAATAATAATCATACGTCTTCTGACTGTAATCTGTCACATCAGTCCTCTAAAGTCTGGTAAACAGAGATAGAAGGATGAATAGTTCACATACTTGCATATCTACCATAAATGCACATTTTATTTTATTTTTTTACAATTTCAGGGTCTCTTGTAAAACAGCAATCTAATGGGCACATGACAGCAGCAGCACCTGCTCCTGTCTCTGAAGATAAGGGGGGTGTAATAAACGTGTCCACACTTTGAGCCCACACACTTTTACACAAACACACACGGACAAGGTAAACAAAGCCGCACATGTGAGATGCATACAGAGTGGAGGAGAGTCATTCAGAAATGTGAGTGGGATGCAGATGAGATGCCTACATCAGACTGAAAGAGTAGGTACAAAAATAGGATGAAATAGATTGCCATTATGACACTGGCAAATTTTACCTATGCATTTGTTCCAATGACATAAATTATGGCAAATGTACTGAAGCCACAAACTGAAGTAGTCACACAGAAGCAGTTTTCCTTTTTTTTTCTCATCACATTCACTGAATAAATATCTCCTTTTCAAACTGTCCAAGAAAAAAAAATAATGAAGGCTGCTGTTGGTTGCTTAAAATTCTACTTAACAAGTTGACATGGTTATTGCATGACCTCACCTTATAGAGGTCATGTTCATAGTTAATTGCTTGTTTCCCTCAGTTTACATAAGTAGTGTGATTAGCATCCAATAAAATACAAACTCAGAACTTCACTGTTTATTTGGGCATAAATCACAATTTTGACATTTGAGAAGATAAACTTATCACTCTAAATCTTTAAATGTACTGCAAATTTTATTCCATCGTTTCTAAGTTTTTACACTTTATTCGAATGTAACTAGATGAATACAGGTCTGCTCCATGGTGGGGCCCTGGTAACACGCGTCCAAACAAGGAACGTTGAGCTTCTTGGTCATAAGGTTGTCACCCATATCTTGGCAGAACTCATTGAAGCAGATGCTGTGATTGAACCTGTTGCCATGTTTGGCTCCGAAATATTCCATACAGGCACTGCTGTCCCTCCTTGAAGCACAAATACTCAGTGCTCCTCACTGGGACAGCTCCAGAGGGCCTGACACTTTAACTCAGTTGACTGGCCGTATTGATTCGGCTTTTGTCAGTGTCACTCGTGTCAACGTATGTTCACTCACGATCAAATATTTCACTTGGCGTGTCATACAGCTCTGTCACAAGAAAATTAACTTGTGTGTGAGTGCTCCTAAGGTTCGGCTCTTTATTGTGCTTTATAGATTTTAAGCTAATTAGTTATGATTGTAGCTTCAATAACTAAACTAATATGTATATTGTGTATATAAACAGTTAAAATCAAAAATCATTATGAAAACTAACCGGTTTATCAAGTAGTCAGTGAATTTCAACTTGCATACAAAATCCACATTTTGGAATTTGAATATACTTTTAAGTTTATATTTAAAATACAAAMATAAGATAACAAAAATGTGATATGAACAAGATCTGGCATTGTTTAAATACTGTCATTATGTTTGGCTGCAGGTTTGATTCGTTTGCGCTCCAGCCCACCACCTCGCCTGCAGGGTATCGAATATGTCCTTAATGTCACCGCCACTGATGACAACGCCTCAGGCGGACCTCAGGCATTATCATCCACAGCACAGGTCATAGTTGGCGTGGATGATGTGAACAACAACAAGCCTGTCTTTGAGAAGGTAAGAGGTGCAGTCACTAAATGTTGTTGAGGCTTGCCTATTGTAGCCTTGATTTGCAGCCCCTGTCTTCATTGCATAAACAACCAAAAACAAAMCTTATTTTTCTTGTCACAAAACTCTGTATGTTAACAGGGGAATACAAACACAACAGAAAATATGTTTCCTAAAAATATGTGGAGTAGTGCCAACAAGGCCTGAAAAGCTGTTTAACATTGGCAGTTTTGTGCCTTTTTCTGTTAATATATGACAATCTGACTCTGTTCTTTATTTCCTCAAGTGTTTCTGCTTCTGCCAATCCTTTCCATTTCATTGTACATGATTTCTTTGTATCCATGTCTTTGTCTTTCTATCTCCTCTTTTTATTAGCCTGTACCTCTCTCCTCTTGAGAAGCGATTAGTGAGCTTGACCCTCATCTCTTCTCTTACATCTCACTCCTACATCATCTTGGTCTTTTAATTAAGGCTTTAAGGGATGTGTGAGAAATCCCGACCGGCCCACTCTAAAAGAGCTACATCTCCACCAGCTTGTTTTTTTTTTCTTGCCATGTTTCAATTTTAAATGAGGTGACTTTTCAGCCCCTAGAGGTATCCCAAGCTAAGATTAAGAGGGGGTTGGGGCTTGCTGAGTAAAGCTTGCTCACTCTCTCATGGGGAGGATGTGAAACAGCAAGTGTTTCCCTTTCTGCTTCATGTCTGAGTAGAGAGAAACTGAGAGGCAGACAACATGATGAAAGGTTCAAAAATACGATGAAGGGATCGATCTCCAGWGCAGGATTTTGTGTTTTCATTAAATGACTAACACCTTAAAGGAGTGATTTGCTTTTTGATGAGGGCTTTAATGGAGGGATTATTTGTAGTCAGTGCTGTTGCCTCTCAGCAAGAAGGTTGCCGGATCGAATCCCATGCAGTGACCTTTTGGGTAGAGTTTGCATGTTCTTGCTGTGTATGTGTGGGTTTTCTCCTGGTACTTTTCCTCCCACAGACCACAAGYATGCATGTTTTGCTRACTGAGTGAGAGAAYRAGTGTTTTCTGTCTCGTCTGTCTCTATGTGGCTCTGTGATGGACTTGCGACCTGTCCTGGGTGTAGCCCATCTCTCACACAGTGACTGCTGGATATGGGCACCAGGGACCCTGACCCATAGAAGCTGGTTAAGATAATAAATGAATGCCTGTTTTTTTGTTTGTTTGTTTGTTTTTTGTTTTGTTTTGTTTTACAAAGTCTTGATATTAAAACTTTTCTCAATAGTCAGAAATAGCTAGAACAATGGGCCTCATGCAAGAACCGTTCGTACGCACAGATTTGTTCTTAAGTTGTGCGTACGAGTGATTTAGGAGAATTTGTGGCATTCACC